AATCACTTTTCTCAGTATTAGACATCACATGAAAAGAGAACTGCTGTGTCTTCCCCTGCATCTGTAGCATGTTGATCCCAGTCACACTTACTTTGTACTCAATGCCTGGCATCAACTGAAACAAAATCACTCATCAATATACATTTATGTCTGTGGTATAGGTCCCACGCCGTAGCCGCGTGGTCTGAGGCATCATGCTTCGGACCGGCGATACGGAATGCGCACTGGTTCGAATCTCGGGGGAGAAGAAATTTTCTCATGAGCTTTCGACCAGTGTATGGGACCGGTGCCAACCCAGCATCGTGAGGAAATTGGGGAGCTACAATGAGTAGCGTAATCCAGTCAGGAAAGCTAGCAATGGCTGGGGGTTTGTCGTGCTGACCACACGTCACCCTATATCTGGTTGGATGATCGTTCACCTCTGCTTAGGCATGTGAACATGAGGCCAGCAGTCAAGCTAGTCGGCTTTGGCTCTCTGGAGCTGTTACGCCACGGATTTAATTTCCTTTTGATATTAGAATATGAATTTAATTTATCAGAAAGAATAACTGGACACAAATAACAGAAACAAATTGCATGCTTCAACGTCATGGAAGGACTTCTCCTTCCCCCCCCCCCTTGCGCTGCTCTAGTCACTGGTACAGCGTCGCTGGCTTTGCTACGCTGCGAGTTCTAAACTGTCTTCGCTCGCCTGGGTTCCGCTGTTTGTCTTCTGGGTTTTTTGCTCCGTGCAGTGCAATAGAAGTCCACTGACACTTCAGAGGTGTTTGATGCCATCATCATCAGGGCGATATGAAATGCCGGTAAGCTTCTATTTCACTGCACGGAGCAATAACCCAGAATACAGCCATAATTAAATATTGCCCTTGTTATACAACACAGTGGAACCTCGATATAACGCGGGTTTCGGCGGACAGGTTCAGTACCCGCGTTATATGTAAAATGTGTAAAACATATGTAATCTTATTGGGAGACATGATCACAGTCGCGATATAACGAGGTTCCACTATATTTGCTTAATATTTTAAACTAGAGATTACGTGACATTTAGAAGGTTCTTGTGACTGGTAATATTAATTATGGCAGAAACGAAACACTGCAAGGTTTCAACTCAAGTGATAACACTACTAGCAGATAATAGCCCATGGTTACGTATTAAAATTGTCAGTTCGGTCTGTAGTTTCACTATGAAAACAGGTACAGTCTTATTATGGACTGTTGTTCATCTAATAAACGTACAAGCAGATACAGGTGAGTAAATATTACACTGTTTCAGTTTTAATGTAAAATTCATTACATTTTTGGAACTATAGACATGACACAATTACATCACAGAAGCATTTGTAAGGGTTTTATGGGCAGAAGAAACAAAAAAGATGGCAATTCAAAATAAACTGCTAGCACAAAAGATTTATTTTTAATATTCTTATTTACTGCAATAAAATGTGTGATGGATGACCGGATTTCGATTCTCTGTAGGGTATTTTTGTACACTACCACGTCCAGACCGACTCTGTGCCCCCATGTATAGTGGAACAGAGTAAACTTGAGTGGCTAGAGTTTAAAGCTGATCCCTCATCGCCATACGCGAGGATGTGAAATTAATAATACTTAGAGCCATTATACATATTTGTTGTCATTAACGCATTAAAATTCTTGTTTGTAACACATTTAAGAATGCCATAAGAAACCACTCACGTAAAAGTACCACAAAGTATCAACACTGTTGTGGACAAGTTTGTCCCAATGCGAAGATTCAAATTTTCTGAGCCGTCACAAATAAAAATATTAGTTATTGACACTAAATAAAATTGAATATGTCTTATATAAACGCATATACATTCAATTTTACTCACCCATTTACTTAATATAAGTTGAAATTTGTAACCAAATGTTTTTGGGCCATTTTTTTTCATCGCATGTGCGTTCTACTTAATGTCCTTGGTTCAAAATGAATTCAAGTCAGCTTTGTTTAAAATCTGTAGTCATTATATCTTGAGTGTGATATCAATAAACTTACAGCAGCATACATTTTAAGTTTTTATAACAATATTAGCACGCTGTTAACAAAAAGCCAGAGCAAACCTCATACTTTCTTCGAACCAACCGAAATCAAAGCACCCCGAACTCCTAACTAACCACAGAACCAACAGAAGCCGAGTAGTACACAACTTAGTTCTACTTATGTCAACCAGTTCCGATCATTACGTCATCATGAGGAGTTGACTGTACTGTGGCAAGAACTCCGAAAGAAAGGTGAAGAAGACAGTGATTAAATAATGTATACAGTTGCAAAAAATAATACAAAATTCCATCACTGTCATAACAGAAGCAGAAACTTACTTCTCCTAGAATATTCCAAACTAGCGATGTCTCTTTCTAAATGACTTCCCAACCTCTGTGGACTTGCTGTTTCTTTCATGTATACTACTTAATTTGCCCATTTAAACCTCTTTATTTCATGCCCCTAACAAGAGCAGTCACAAGTACAGAGTCTGTTCATATAACACTTAATTCTTTTTTGGCATTTCTTACGATTTCGTGAGTGATGGGCCACCCCTTTACAAGACCTCTACACCAACAGGACAATTCAATATAGAAAAACGTGAATAAAAGTGCATGAAACGAACAACATTCGAGACAGCGATTGTAACATTTGAATAGTCCAAAACCAACAGATTTTACGTCAGTTTCTAAGAAATTAATTCCATGAGTTGTTATTAAGAAGGTCTCTGTCTCTCAGTTGGTTAAGGAATTTCGACTGTTATGGAACTTGATGGTTCAATCTCGTGTCCATAAGAGCCCGCCATTGGACCCTAACCTTACACCCTATTTCTTTAAGACAAATTTTATTATTATCTTCCCATCTACACACAAGACACTCAAGTAATTTCTTCCACATTCTACGACTGAAACTGTGTATGCACACAACACTTTCTGCTTCTCATAATTCTATTAATATTAAAACTTATAGAGTAATTTATCTGGTTTCGGCATAGATAACACAAAGTCCTGTTTCAACTTTAACAAGCACTGCATTCGTGACATTAGTTTATTAGACACACATGGCGTAATATATATTTATAGACTGCGGAGTCGAGCTGGTTCCACAGGGTCGGATAATGGGAGGAGAAGACGCAGATGGATACAGATTACCGTGGTACGCACTCTTGCATCCCCCGGAAGATAAAACGACCCCAATATGCTCAGGAACACTTATCGACAGCCACCATGTAATAACTGCTGCTCACTGTTTTGTCTTGTAAGTAAGTAGATGTTGCTGTGGTGATGTCCCAGCGAGAATTATTCCCAAAGAAGATATTCCCCTAAAAATTTGTGAACCAGAGTCTTTCAGTGGCATTGACATTTTTAAGTATCACTGGTTCCTCTCACAAAGAAAAAGTTTTTGTTCACAGTATTTATTTTGCGTCATACTAAAAGTGCCCCCCAACCACATTTGGACTCCGAAGGTCTCGATGGCATGTCCATTCCATTTCCGCGTAGCAGATTAGCATATGCATATTTTGAAAAAAATTCCAGCGCACCATTCAGATATGGACATTAATGATTCCTTAAAATTAAAATTAAAATTAAAAGAGTAGATACAGATAAAGTGGCCAAATTTGTTTAATATAATACGAAATACATTTTCAGGATGAAAGGGGACAATAATACATCCAAATTTAGTGTAACTCTAGGAATATACAACAGATGTATGAACGAGTCCACCCAACAGACGTTCATGGTTTCCAGTGTCGTTCTGAACCCAAACTTTACGACTTCAACCGACAGCTATGATATCGCCATCATAACGTTGAATCAAACTACAAACTACACGCCCATTTGTCTTCCCGGCAAAGGTAAAGAGATGCTACGAGTTTTTGTGTTGATAATTTATTATAAATTCCGTGCATTATTTAAATGTTTCATCTGAACTGTTTATCAGACTCTGAGGAGATAGCAAAAAACAAGATGTGTGGCCTAAAATCGTCTGATTCAGGAGAAGGATCTATGGTGGGATTTTGTGAAAGAAACTGAACAAGTACAAGAATGTAAATATTTAAAACATTTCATAATCGCAAGTGGCTACGGAGACTTTAACAATTAAAGTAAAATATTTACGTGGGTAAGTGAAATAATTCATAGACTGGTAAAGAAAAGTACGGTACGTATTTTAAATGAAACAAAACCATAAGTAAAGAAGCAGTAGTTAAGGCCCTTAATTGAATGTACAGCTCTAGACAAACACGGGATTCTACAGGTAATCATGGCAGTCAAGGTAGTCCCGTTTTTAACCAAAACTGGAATGTATCTACAAATATGTGCAAAACCATCTAGTATGAAATTTCACGAGAATTTGTTCAGTTGTCCTCGAGTTGTCACACGCGGGCTGACGGACGGACAGACAGACCTGGCAAAGGTAATATGCGTAATTCTGCATATTTTAGTTTTAAATGCGCCTAACAACTGATAGGCTTATTGTAATACAATAAAGGTTGATATCGCAACCATAGTTGGATTAAGCTCTATTAGTAAGAACAGGAAGAATGGGTAATACTTATGACCGAAGAGATCACGGAATTGCAAACCTAAAGGGCAAGAATTAGAGGAAGGCTAAGAAACGTTGTATATAAATATATTAACCGAATTATTTCTACATTTGTTATCAAGGATAAAAGATGTTAATTCTGAATTTATATATCGCCTGGTGAGAACAATAGTGACGTAACTCAGAAATCGCCGATTTTGAGTTATATCCATAAATAGACTTGGAACATTCACCTTTAAATCATGCATAAGCGGCGGAAGTGTAGGTCCGCCCTATGCCGCTAGGTAATGATAAACGCCACTATTGTCGGGAAGGTTTCACTCCATCTCTTCGTGCATGAGAGACGTAAGACAGTGTGTGGCCGACCTTACAAATTATGTTAATTCAAAGCATATTGTGAATAAAGTAAAAGAAATTACTCGAGTAAGTTGTATGGCGGACGAGGAATCAAAGATTGAAGTTGCGCCAAAAGTTCGAAGGCATTTTTCTCGAAACTGTGATTTCTGAGTTACGTCACTATTGTTCTCAGCAGGTGATATGTCCTATGCCCAGATAGTTACATAAATATGAGTTGATAATAGTTTTTAACCCACGCTAAAGAACAGTTACAAACAGTTACACCATGGCTGTATGTACTTTGTGGATGTTTACATATTAAAATTCTTCTTGAAATTAATTGAATGACAAATTAAACCTCTTAACCTTCAAATACCAAACCTGTATGCTAACAACAACTATTTCAAAATTCCATATATAAATATTATTAGTACTGTTACATACTTGAATGTTATACTGTAAGTCTCATTGGATACTGGCACTCCTTCCCTGTCTGAATGAGGAAGATCCTTACAGCACAAGACATCATGAGTGTTCTCTAGAACAGTACTAACAGCAGAAGAGGGGTCTTGCATTGTCCCTGAGGTTGGTATTGTAGAAATTTCTGATTTCAGTACTGTTCCCCAGCCAGATGTTGCTTCAATAGTAGTAATAGTAGTTGTAGTATTGGGTGACGTAGTTGTAGGAGCAGTGGTAATAAGAACTCTTAACACAAAACATAAGTCCTACGTTTCAGGGCTATACAGTAAACAAGGAATATACAATATGAATCTGTATTACATAAAACACGTTTCATGAAATAAAGGATGTGAATTACAATTATAAACCTATAACAAAACATCTTCACAGCATGGGATCTTTCTCCAGTACATAACAGTTCTTCAAATGATTGAGAAATCATGTTATGGAACATAATAGCTCATCATCATCACATAACATACAATCATAAATATTTAAATTTAACAAAATGGCACCACATTGAAGTTTAAAATATTCACTTTATAAGTGAAAATAGTGCTTGATGAAGAAATAATGGAACAAGCAAAGAACTTTAATTATCTTGGCTGTGATATTACAGATGTTGAATATCATCATGTAGACAGAAAGCTGCATAAATTCCATGAAATATGTAACACTATTATGTAAGATCTCTGAAAAATAAAGCTTCAACTGAAGTCAAAAGATTCATACTAACTTCCACTTTCCAAAATTTCTATAAGAATGTGAAAATTGCCTTTTGATGAAAATAAAAAAGTCCAAGCTATGGAAACTTGTTTTTAAGTATAAATAAATAATTTACTGGTAATGAGATTGTGAGTTAAGACTTAAGTGTACTCTGTACAAAGGAAATGAGCCAGAATTATAGAAACAGAGAATTGGTCACAATATGAACAGGGAATATAAAATTACAGAATTAATGAAAGGACAATTTAAACTAAGTGAGAAAAATATTGAAAAAGGAAAAAGACACTGCAGAAAGCAAAGAAAAAAGACTGGTGACTCCTTCCGGTTTAACCTTTATCATACTGGAATAAGGGATTCAAAACCTCATACTACAGAGCTGCCAGCGATGATGGAGGCAGTATGACCTCTGAAACGTTGGTTAACATCGACCAGACTACACAGCGCAACAACCCAGAAGACAGAAATCTTTGTACTCACCACTGTGAAAACATCAAATCTTACATAATTCAAGATATATGCAGAAATACAGATCTGTTTACTGAAATTTGCAAACACTACAAAAGGTTACTCACGTATAATATCCCAGAACGCTGCATTTGCATACCAAATACATCTGTGACTTAATAGTAATAGACTTTTCTGTGGCACAGCTGTCTCCACTCCATGTATTCTCCTTCCATGTTGCACACTATCAAGACAATAGAACACTTTTAATATGTCTGTTGTAGAATCCATCACAAACATGAACAACACTGTAAATAAAATTGATCTGATTCAGAACAGGGTCTAGCCAGTCTTAAATCCAAACTTTAGATAAGGTAATTTAGTGCCTTATCCCTAGACAAACTGGTCACCAGAGTTTTATGTTATTTCTACAGCTAGCACTATTGATGAACTCCCAGCATATTGCCAACATTTCTTTCAGTCCATTATTCAGTGTTAACAGTTCACAATCAGCAATCGCTTACCTGCAACACCTTGTCAGGCTGAAGTGGTGCACTGCCCACTGGAATTTTAAAGGTAACAGGATAGTCCAACTTACTAGGAACCTGCTCATCTCCCATCGTCACCAATCGTACCTCAAACACGACACTACCCCTACAACATTAATTCCATTTATAAATCAGGTATCATGGCATTTATAATATGAACTGGTAATTTAATTTATTTTTTGAGAGATCACACTTTATTTACACATTTGTTCTCATATCTAGCAAACTTTCACAATGACAGTGACAAGACATTATTGGCCTTGACTTATCATAATCATGAACATAACAGAAAACACCTCCCTTTTCTACATTGTGATGAAATGTTGCCAGATACAAACATACCAAGATAAACTATGCATTCATATTTACAAAGAATAATGAAAAAATTCATAAGAGATACAGTTAGATGTCAAATAGCATAATTATGATAAAACACTAAAATAAATAATAGATCATTTACATTATTTGGGCATGCAAAATGAAAGATACCCTTACAAGTATGACAAGTTAAGGCAATGAAGAAGAAAAAGATCCAGACAAAAACAGGAAGACAATATTCTTCAGAACATACTCAGAAAAAAAAAGGATAAATGAGGTGAAACCAATGCCTTAACTGGGAAGAAACTGGGCTTTCTGAAACACCTCTCCATTCAATATAAGAGAACCATCTAATAAAGAAGCAAAAAGGCAAGTATCAGATACATGCAATAGCTAAAACTGAGCAGGAGTGACTTTTTATATCAAACTGCAGTCACTATTAGATTATCAGCTGTCACAAACTATGTAAAGAACAACACACCTCTTTTGCACTTCAACTGGCTGTGTACTCCTTTCCATGGCCACATCTGTAAGGTAGTCTGTCGGGAATGCTGCACCACCAAGGCATGTTTTACCAGAAGAACCAAATTTCTCAGCAACAGTCTGGCCAAGGTTAATCTAAAAGAATAATATAAATAAATACTTTCTAATCAATTTAGTCCATAATATTAATTGCTGTGGACGCAAAATAACTCCGAGCTTTGATGACTGTTACAAATACAAATATGGGAGGGGCAGGAATACCATAAAGTGACAGCACCTATGGAGAGACAATCCAGTCCTTCCTTATAGTATTGTAGGTGAAATTATATTTAGACTGCAGAAGTAGCATGTACAGGTTAAGGCATGTGCCTACATTCTTTGTGTTTTATAGTTCCTTTGGTTTACAAATATGCTGTAATGTAAATGTCAGTGTATCAAAATGCCACCAACTGTGTCAAAATTATAAGGAAAATATGTTTTCAATTATAGCTCAGAGAGAGTAAACCATTTACACAGATATGCAGATTCTAAAAATAAAAACTTACCAATCCTGTTTCATTTACAGCTAAAGGAAACTCTGGAGGAAATTCTGGTATATTGAAGTCAGCAGTCTTCAAGATATGATCCTTGGAAAGAAGTTTCTGTACACTAAAATGCACAACTGTAGTTCCTAAAGAGGAAAATAACTCAAATTTTAAATCTAAACTGAAGTCAGTGGTCGTCACATGACCCTTAGAAAGTTCCTGTATAATAAAATATATAATTGCAGTTCCTCCAATTCACTTCCTATCTTTATTCCTTTGTACTAGTTTCCCAGATAAAATGTGACTTCCTTTTTATTTGGTAATGTTAAAAGAATTATTGCAGCTATAATGACCACACAGATCTTTATTTCTTTATCCACATGTTACCATTTTCATCTTCTGCAGCAAAAACTACTTCTTCACTTTTTAAACTGTGATCTACTGTCATTTAAAAGAACTTCATGTACTTAAAAACATTTAGAATTGGTTGATAATGTGACTAGTGATTTGATATTTAATAAATTTATTTAATAAATTACCTACTTGTTTCTAGAATACCTCAAATAAGCGTAAAAAGTTCAAGGTTGCATTAAGGCATTTTTTAATTACTTACTCGTTTTATACTGTGGATGAGTACTTAATTGGATAACTATTGTAATAAAAATACTAGTTATATTGTTTTGAATTTAGTACGCTGCTTGTCTAGATGTAATTCTTTAATGTATGTATTTTATGCTTTTATACTTGAGTTTGTGACATGTTCTATATCCACTATTGGATTTCTGGAACTTGTAAATAAATAAATAAATAATAAATATTCCTGGCATTTATTTGTAAATATGCCTGAAATATTTCTGATTGGTTTATGTAAAATAAATCAGCTCTGCTGAACTAACATTTTAATTTTTAATGACAATTTAACATTCTACTCTACTTTATATTTATATATTTTTATTGTTACTAGTGTTCCTTTGAAACTCAAGTCAAGAAGTATGTTTCCTATTACATATATGAGTTCTCCAATTCTCACTACATTAAATTAAATATGGCAATTTTCCAAACAAGCATCCCAAGACAGCAACACACATGCCGTGCCAAAGAAATAGCTGCTCCATAAGAATTTTGTCAGTATCTCATAATTTCCAATAAATAACACAAACATCACCTGTAAAACACAGCATTAAAGTTTTCTAAAAACATGTAGCCTCAATCAGAGTGAAGTGACATTACTTTGTTAACCTTTAACAAACTGGAATTGGTGATTTACATTCACAGTACAAAGCTGCCAGACAGTCTTTAACTCTGGGGTTTAACAGTATAGAAGTATACTACTTTGACACATGGCCAGATGGACCACACATAAATCATGACAATAAAGATTAACTGACATTAATATTCCAAGAACTGCATGACACTTACCTACAGGAATCTTCTGATCCTTCGCCAAACAAAGATGGTACATGTAGATATGCAATTGCTGCAGCAACTTCTCCTTCTCTTCCAGAACAACAGAACTGTTCTCACTTTTTATCAGACTCTCTGACAATTTAAGAAAGGACTGCACCTGCAGTGATCCCACTTTTCTACATTACTATTTCTAGCATAAAAATACTTCAAGGCAGTTTATTCTGTTTTTATAAAGCCAAGTGGGCCTATGCTAGAACGATAAGGATGGTAATTCAACATAATCTCCTAAAGTAAAGGTAAATGAGAGACATAACCTACAAACAAATTAAGAATGTACTCATAGTGTAACAATTCCCATACAGTTGCCAGAATTTGATCTCTAACCTTTATCAGATGTAATTAATGTAATCGCGATAAACAAGCAGTCAGATATTCCGCAGCCAGTCACTTCAGCATACAGAAACACACATAGATCTTCATGTAACACGCCTGTTATCTGATTTTAACCAAAATTTGGTGTTGATAAATTACTGCATTTCAGAGTAAAGAGTGACTGGTTTTAAGATTTGTTTAGACTTTTTAAAAAACAGGCTATGGATAAGTTCAAAACAAAGAAACTACTAATATAATACCATCACCAAAGACATTAAGAAAACTCACTTGCATGCTTTATCAGACTGTATCTCAGCACCATTTAAATACATCAGTCCACATCTCAGTCTCATGTAATAAAATATGGTCACCATATTTTTGGTGTTCTTACAATGAATATTACACATGATGGGAGATAACTTCCACAAAGCATTACAGGATTATACCATCATACAGAAAACTTCTGAAGTATCCCTCATAATAAGTAGGAAATTATACGAAAGAAACTGCTTGTAGACTCTTTTACAGATATTAAATGGCACTGCATGTGTTTCTGTGCCATCACTTTTTCCTACAGGCTGCACCTGAAGTAATGGCTTTTGAAATGATGGCAGAAAACATACATTATAAATAAATTAATACATAAATAAAAAAAAAACAATTTACTAATTATTTATTTAGGTTTATAGAATGTTTTATAAGCAAGTCCTTCAAAAAATCAGCCATATTGTAATATGTAAGTTTTTAAAATAACTGAACACTTTGGCTTGCTGAGCAGTACTTACATTATTGACTGTAATAAGCGTGGTTGGTTGGGTATCTCCACTGCTGCGTCTCTGACGTGACTGCCTTTTAGAAGCTGAATCTCTGTCTGGAAATGATCTGTATTTTAGTCTGAGTTCTGTAATGAATACAATTGTGGAGTGGATATTATAGTAACAGACAATGAATAGACAAATGGATGTTAAAAATACAACAAAACAATGTTCTACTTTAATCCCATGGAAAATCAACTTAGAAACTGTGCATTAATCAATCAAGCATGATTTAAGGAGCCAATTAGTATAAATGAAGGTGTTCTTTTTCCACTTCCTACTGCAAGTCTACACTTGGTTGGTTTTAAAACACCCATCATGAGCTGCAATCACATGTGCTGTGAAATACATCTTTAACTAAATTCTCTTTGGAATTTACTTGTCATAAAATAAATACCACAAATTCAGCCAAGAATCAAACAAGAAAACCAATTGTTATTATTATTATTATTTACTTACCACCACTATGTTTTGCTACACTAAGAATTTTATCCTTAAATGCTGCAAGATCTTGCAATGTTGAGCCTGACATTGGCAATTCACTAAGCACAATGATGGACATATCCAGGAAATCTAAACTTGACCGCAAGGATCCTGAGTTTGCATCCAAGCTAGAAAGAAAATTAATTCAGCAAAGAGGCCTTAGAATAGAATATAAGTACTAAGAAAAGTCTGCATCAAACAGGTTGGACTTTTGGTAACTTTTCTGACTTGTCTTCAGATTGAACACTGATTGGTTGGAGAACAAGCTATCATTTACCTACTTAAATTCATAGACTTCCTTGGCCCTATCAAGCAAATGGCAAGATACCACCTTGAAATTTGGCACATTCTTCTGAGCAATTCATCATACCTGCACATGCACAGCCAATGAAGTAGAACAGGTCATAGCACAAATACAATACTTGTTTCTAGTACAAATATAAATACATAGTTATAACAGCTATTGACAGATGTTCGGAACTACAGTATTACAGCAAAATAATTATGATGAAAACCATCACCATTATTACTTGCATGTATTCATAAATTCTTCTACTGAGTAGGAGTGAGATAAGAGATACTCTTTTAACACTGGCTTAAACATTTTTTATCGTGGTTTAAACATATTTTAGTAGGTTGAAGATTATTGAATAACTTAATTCCAGTATAGTAAACTCCATTTGATATTTACTGAGGTTAGAAATCGGCACATAAAGGTTGTATCTGTATTTCATTCTTATATTGTGGAAATCTGTATTTGTTTCAAATTTTTCCATGTTATCCATGTTGTTCACAAAGTAGATAGGCAAATAGAAGTCAATTAATATCTGTAATACTGACATCTGTAGTTGATTCACCAAACAGACAGACTCAGTCTATTAGTATGTGTGATGCGAACATCTGTAGTTGATTCACAAAACTGATAGACAAAAAGAGTTCAGTCAACTGTGTAACTGTGACATCTGTAGGTGATTTTCAGAACAGACAGACAAATACAACTCATTAATAGGGCTCCAAAGAATAGATTCTCCCCTTCAAACCCCTAAATGTCAGAGAAGTTCCTATATATAATAAAGTATTATATTCAAAAATTATTCCTCACCCATCCTGTTTTCTCATGAGTTCCTTTTGAATCACACTCTCAAGTATCTCAGCCCCTGCAGTGAAGAGACTGTGGTTTGGCAACTGTTTCAAGGTCTGCAGAGATGTTTGAGCCATACTCATTGCTTCAGGATACTGCTCAGTTGCAATATAGTCTGCAAACTGTGTACCAATTTGCCTGTTGCAAAACCATATCAGTGTGTTAGTATACTCAATACTTTATGTATGATTGAAGTTTATGTAATTATGACTTCCAATGTTATTTATCCTTTTAAAGACATTGGTGAAATGATAAACAATCAGGTCAAGGTTTAACAATCACAATTTTATATTTTCTAGACAGAAAAAAGCAAAATGTTCAAATGAAAAGTATGCAAACCTGACCTATTCTATAAATATGCTCAGCAGATTTCATATAAGATAAAAACTGAAGTTGATGATGATCTGTAGTGATTACATTCTTACAGAACAAATCTGGTTAATACATACTGAACTTCCATAAGGGTGAGGTTACTTGGCAAGGTTGTGGTTATTTGTTCACCACTTTCTATGGCACAAAGCCTATGAACATCACACACCATCAATACAGGAATGGTTACAGTCTCAGGACCCATAACTGAAACATTCAAAAGATACACATATATAATCATGTTGATACACAGATGGACTATTTGGAATATCAATCTCATAAACTAGTGTAATCATATTTAAAAACCACAAATAAATAAATCCATAACTAGATTACTCAAAACAATTTCCTTTAAATTTATTCTCTTCTAAAACTTTACATGACAATTTTATGCCTCAATATAAGTTAACTTGAACAATTTTAGGAATTCCGTGTCAAAATTTCAATTCAGTATAGTGGTAATAGTGGTAGTGAGGATTATATAGACATTTTTTAAGGTTTTCTTTTCAATAAACCTGAACACAAATTTAAAAACTGAAACTGTACTCACAAAGGATCTTTGTTTTTATTTTAATAGTCTTTGATTCATAGTTTGGATATTTTAATCTATGACAACTGGATTTTATTGAGCCACAGCAAACATTAACTGTATTTTATACCATAAACCAAAATTAATTTTGTGTAACTGAACGTCATTATACAAAAATAAATTTTTTGTGACTTGTGAAAACTGGATTTTAACTAAAACCATAGGCAAAATTAAATACAGCTTACACAGTAAATCAAAATTAAATTGTACTAATCAAATAACATACACAAGAAGAAGAAAAACAGTTCACCTGCAGGAAGAATGGTGGTGACTTGTAAGTCCACATTTGATGTGCTAAAGAAGTGGATTTGCTCCTGATCACTGAAGCGGTATCCATACTTATACAGAAGAGGATAGTCAGCAGAAAAATCATCTGCCAAATCAGTGCTGAATATAAACCTCGTGCGCAGAGCCTCACCTTTTACAGGACTCACCTGTGCACCATCACAAATATTAATAACTACAATTCAGACTATTCCTTGAGCACTTAAAATTATATTGGCTGATCAAGAAATGGCATGCTGTTATGAGACCAAAAAATTCATCACTATGACCACAAAACCCCACCAATGGACGAAATTATGAGCCAGTTCAATCCAGTTCATACCTTTTAAAGTTATTTCCTTTAAAATTCAATTTAATATTATCCTCTGATCGATACCTAGGCCTCCAAGTTCCCTTTTGCTCTGCAGTCTCCCAACTAAAAATTGGTAGGTAATTTTGTTTCCCCATGCATGCTACATGATCTGTCTATAATTATTCTAACAATGTTAAGTGAAGAGTATAAATTATTAAATATTTTATTATGTATTTTTTTCCATTCTTATATCATCTGTCTTAAGATCAAATATTTTTCTTAGCGCTTTCTCAGTCACTCTGTATTTAATAAAAGCATGGTTCTCAACACAAGCCCACCATTACAACTTTCATTTTAGACTGTATATCTTGAGGATAAAATACTCTGAAATAGAAATAAAATATTTCCTTCTAAAACTCTGTAATTTCAATCTCAGAATTCTGCTGATTTCTTTTTTCTTTGGAAACTGAATCAATTTTCCCATAAATTGAAAATGGAAAGATTTTTAAAAATGATATCTATTCCTGGATTCAGCATCCATCTCCATCCATGAAGTAAGTCCACAACTGTCATCAATTAGTGATACAGCAGGTTTCATCAGTAGTACTTAAGTAGAAACCTAAGTACTCAAGCATCTTGTCAGAATGATAGCAGCCATGTAGGCTTATCTAGATATTACAGCTACATTACTGTCTTTTGTAGCTGTTTATTACATGTGGAATGTATGTATAAAATTTAGCATTTTTGAAGTTTGTACATATTATAAATCATTTACAGTCTCCTATGATCAGTAGTTTTAAAGAAAATTGATAAATTTAATTTAAGCTTCATATAAAGCAAAGCACGTGTTTGAAAAATATAATTGAAAATTAAATTGTTCCAAAACATTTTACCAAATGTTATCAAAATCTGCTAATTACCAAACGTTCAAGGATAAAACATGAATCAGACCAACAAGGCCTTCCCATTATGTGTTCATTTGCACTTTATGCAAAGAGAACATAAAAATAGTCTTCAGAAAACCAAATATTCCACACGCACACACACAGATAGTGAAAGCATATTGTAGTTTCAAAATCATGCTTATATCTCACAGTACCATATTAGGACTAGGGAATACATTTTAAATCCTTACCTTCAAAAATTTCACAGTGGGGGGAGAATTTGTGGTAATAAGGAAATCTGCGTAGCTTTTCACTGGTTCAGAGGGGCAGACCACACTTAGACGCAGTTTGTATACAGCATTGTCCTTCAGACCTGGCCAAATACCTGTAGGCCCAGGTATAACTAAAGGAAATTCTCTGCAAAAAGAAGTTGAGTTTGTACAAGAGAAGAATAAAAGTTTGCTGATGACTGCCATAATCTGCAAGTGCAGCAAGGAACAAGGACTTGCTATTTTAAGCATCAAGCAAAGAAGTGATTCTGCCATCATTTTAAAATGCTTTGAGATCCAGTTTTTGTGAAAAATAACTCTGATAAAACACCCATACTTCTCAAAGATCTATCTCCACACAAAATTTCAAGAATCTATATTTAATCTGGTCAGTGATAGTAAAAATTGTTGTCAGTGTGCTGCGTATCACCATACTAAAACGTCTTTATATTAAAAATTTAAACAAAAAATATCATGGTTAGCATCTGATATGATCAGCTTAACCAATGTCAATCAATTTAAAGACAACTAAAACAGAATGATATTACAGCATGCTGTACCCTTGCAGAACTATTCCATCTGCAATGCACGGCAACCTGCAATGCAATGGAACTATTTGTGTATAACAGTGAAAGTGTTAATGTTACTAGCCGTTATTTCCACTTAAAAATTTCAAATGACTACCTTATTGTTATTGTTGACAGGATGCCACAAAGGACCAAAATTAAATGTCTTCAAATGACATAAAGTTTATTCCAACCATCAGGAAAATCAGTCAGTTAATGTCTGTCACTGAACCAGGGGCAGATACATTGATACAAACATGCAGCTTAATATTTTTTTAAGGGACAGGATCCTTTCAGGATAATAAAAAACATAAATAATGTTATTACCAACCTGCCAAATTTATCCTTAGACTCCTCCAAAGTTACAATGACTGTATCTCCAAGTCCAACTACCTCAGCCAAGTTGAAGTATTCATGACCAGGATCCTGCTGTACAGACCACCACATACGGCAGCCTTCTCGGGTATTCATCACCACAGCCGGAATCTTCACACCCTCTTTGGGATTCACAAATTCCAACTGGGCTCCAGAAGGCATATTCACAGTAGCCGGCATCCCTGGCACCACAGCAACAATAGCTTGTGCCTCTGATGGTGACACCCCAGTTTTTGAGACTTTCACGGTAAAAATGTACCTGCATGTTTAAATGTCATCATAAAGGTATTCAAATAATGGATAAGTTCCTGATGTGTTAACAAATAAAATTTTCATATATCTGTAATTGGAGATGTCAGGAGAGCAAAAGTAAGTTCCACAACTGGTTGTATTGCATTGCTTAAAATGACATGACAATACCTGACACAATCTGTGTTGTATACATCTGATATCTGGTGATACAGATATGATTTTTAGCATTCAATTCCTTTATTGTTATTCCAGATCTTAATAAAAATGCAGCAGATTGATATAGATGTTGGTCTTCTAGGTTGTAATGCCATGTGGATTTTAGGTAAATAAAATAATTTTGCAACACTTGCTTCAGGCACATAAAAATAATAACAATAAAATTATGTACTGGAATTCATTGTACACTCATAATTAGGACAGAACAGGCTGCATGATAGATGACAATGATATCTGCACTAAGAACATTCAGTGATTTGTATTACTTGTGATCTCATCATTCATCCTATCAAATTAAGATCTAAGATAACCATCTTTTTTCCTGGATGCTAATTAGCAAGAATCTGCATCTAATATTCACATAAACATAATATTACAAATGCAAAGAACTGAATAATGCCTTTAGAGGCGGCCATGTATTTTTCTTTTGATTTTTAATCCTGAACTTCAGACTGATTAGCCGGGAATTAATATGATGCCTGGCTACACTTATAGACTTACTTGATGATAATAATCTGAGTGTCACAAACTCAATGAAAACTACATACCTCCCAACAGGTAGTACACTAGGTGGTATTGTCAGTACAGGCTGCTGGAATGCATCTTTGAATGCACTTTCCAAAGTAATTGGTTCTCCAGCTCTTGGCAATAAGCATCTATCTCCTATCTCCTGCTGGCAACACCATAAAAACTGAAATAAAATATATCTACCTTTAGTAACAGTATTGATGGTACCTTTATATTTGTAGAGCTGGGCTAGTAAAATCAAATTTACTGTTTTGTAAAACCAAAAGACCATGAAACTAAATATAAAATATTATGTTTTATTAAAATTTAAATCTACTTTCTAACAACTAAAACTATTTAGGACAAAGGAAAAATATCCACAGTTGACTTAACAAACAGTTCACATTAAATTGAATGACCAAGTTCCAACATCTACTTTACTCCTGAGAAATACAACACCTGTAAGGCCCCTGGTGCACTGTCCAGATCCTGCGATTGTGATGCATCTAACTGTAACATCTGTCCTGTACCCAATACCATTTCCTGCTTTGTGATGTATGCCTTTATTCCTTGGGAAAGTACTGCCAGAATATGCCATGCCTGAAGCACACAGTATCAGTTAAATGGTGGTTATAATGAGTCTCTCAAAACAACAACAGGATTAAGGCTTCTCCCTTCCACAATTAATACTGTTCAATTTTTCTGTTTTTCATACTGCTTCCATAATATATTACTCAAAACAAAAATAAACACAACTGATTGTAAAACATATCTAATATAGTCACAAAAGTTCCTGTGAATCTTAAAATTAAATTTACAATTAACTTTAGACCAACCAATCCTTCAAAATAATTCCTGAAAATAAATTGAAATAAAAAGATGCACAACTTGTTGTTGCAGTGAGCAATCTGGTAGAAGTATATAAATTTTCACAGGTGCTTGCTGCCTCCATCATTATGGCAATCATCCTGACAATGGAGGCAGCAAGCACCTCTGAAATGTTAATAACTACTGCCAGATTACATGGTGAGACAACCCAGAAGACAACATCTTCATACTCATGAAAATCTCAAATCTCACATATTTAAATAAGTAAGTCCTTGCAAGGAACTTCACGTGATTCTGTTATATTTACATTTTACCAAATACAAAACTTATAATCAACATAATGATAGCATAAAAAATATTGAAGCAAATCTTACATATGTGCTTATCATTTCAGCTGATTCATTAAGTTCCGAGGTACAATCACAGCTAATATTGTAAACTTTTCCACCTTGTAGCACTCCATTATGAAGGCACAACCTGTTCCCGCTTGGCAGCTCTATTTTCTGTGCTAATTCACCTTCAATTTTCCACTGACACTAAACATAATAAATGAAGAAGCATGGCTAAAATATGGCCTCTACAACATGAATATCAGGATTACAAAGAGCAGGAGACAAAGCAATATTAAAACACTGTGAATTTTAAGTAAAATGACAAACGCAGATGCCAATATTTCAGATGTGAAGTATCTTTTCCTTGCCATTGTGCATGTAATAAATATTCAGTAGTTCTGTTAAAAATCAGTAAACAAATTTTTATATAAATCAATTCTGATAAACTAAATTTGTATGAACACTAAAATTTGTGACAAGATCGTAATATGCAATAGTTAACAATTTGAAAATTTTAGAATCTAAATTTCCTTAACAATAAGGAATAAAACTAAGAAACACTATGGAACAAAATTAAAAATACTGAATTTCAGTGCATAATTCACACACATTCTCTGACAAAATGGTCACTTTGTCTACTTCGAAAATCTGAAGGATCACAAGAATTATCCAAACATTTTCCAGGCTGCATACTTACATTTAGAGTAGGCATCATAATTTGTGGCTTACAAGAGACAAATTTAGCTTCAATGTAAGAGACAGCATTGCTTAGTGTTGTAGTAGGTCCCACTAGAACCAGTTGGGATGAATTGATTTCATCTACAGAATCACTTTTCTCAGTATTAGACATCACATGAAAAGAGAACTGCTGTGTCTTCCCCTGCATCTGTAGCATGTTGATCCCAGTCACACTTACTTTGTACTCAATGCCTGGCATCAACTGAAACAAAATCACTCATCAATATACATTTATGTCTGTGGTATAGGTCCCACGCCGTAGCCGCGTGGTCTGAGGCATCATGCTTCGGACCGGCGATACGGAATGCGCACTGGTTCGAATCTCGGGGGAGAAGAAATTTTCTCATGAGCTTTCGACCAGTGTATGGGACCGGTGCCAACCCAGCATCGTGAGGAAATTGGGGAGCTACAATGAGTAGCGTAATCCAGTCAGGAAAGCTAGCAATGGCTGGGGGTTTGTCGTGCTGACCACACGTCACCCTATATCTGGTTGGATGATCGTTCACCTCTGCTTAGGCATGTGAACATGAGGCCAGCAGTCAAGCTAGTCGGCTTTGGCTCTCTGGAGCTGTTACGCCACGGATTTAATTTTTAAGAAGTGGTATAGAGCCACATGTTAAATTGGGGGGAGAAGAAAAAGTTTGTTCATGTCAAATCAAGTGCCAAAGACTCATAACAACAACGATAAATAATCTGTTCTTGGACAGTGAGAATCATTAAACCAATTATGGACAGCATTGTATGCAATAAAGATAAATCTGTCTTGTACTCTACAAATGATCAGCAGTCAAATGCTGTCAT